ACTCGAAAATATAAGCAAATATTTAGTCCGATCGAGCCTGCACGCAGTAGCCCACGGCAAGGGGATTGACATCATGGAGCCGAGGGTCCAGACTTTCGTCAAGGTGGGCTGCGTTTTAGGCGTTTTAGGACTATTCGATTAAAGTCTGATCCGGTAATTAGATTTGAAATATAGTGTATTACACCTTAACAAAACAAAAATAAGGCGTCAGGCAAAATAACACGGCATTTTCAGTTTTTCATGAGGGATGACGACCCGAAATTCCTTCAAAAAATCGTTGCCAGTCTGCATGTGGACGCCATTATCGATCAGGTAATTTATTCTTTGAAAATTATACGATTTTGATTTAGCTAAAAGCCAAAAAACGGTCCTACCAGTTCTTCCTGGACGAGTATGAAAAGGCGTACCGTATCCGCCGGCTCGACATGATTCGAGGCCAGGAGAAACAGCTGGACAGCAGATTTTATTCGAAAGGTAGGCAATTTTTGTGTTACCGATACCATTAAATAACCTTAGCCTTGCCATAACTATGCAAAAAGCGTTTTTGCATTTTTAAAGCGCAGTAACCTTCAGAACTCGATCACCGTTTCTTTGCTCGTCTCTTCATCCGCTGCTTACCGAAATGTAACCTCGATGAGGGCGCGGAAGAGGATTGGGTTTACGATCTTGTAGCGTAAGTTTGAAGCTCCTTAGTAGACAGGCTAGCAGAAAGCCTTGAGGAATCCACCTCAGCCTACAAAACTTGATTTTTTTTTAGTTTGCTGCGTCGTGACGCTCGGAATCGAGCCATGCTTCGAATTTTTATGCCCGATTATGCTCTCCAACTAGGTGAAGCTGGATGCTAGATTTTTTATCCAAATTTTTTTAGAAGTCCGACGACAGCGTGAAATACAAGCTACGCATCAGGATTTTTCGATCGAGTTGGAGGAGGAGGGCCAGGAGGTGACAGAATGCACACCGCAGTCGGAGGCTAACTCCGAGATGTACGATCAATGTGGGTTTTTGTTATCTCCCGCTTTCTCTCTCTCTCTTTCTCTCTCTCTCTCTCTCTCTCTCGCTTTCTCTCTCGCTCTTTCTCTTTCTCTCTCGCTCTTTCTCTCTCGCTCTCTCTCTCTCTCCTTCATGGATACCTTCCAGGGCTCATGCTAAGCGACTTACCGCAGGAAGAAATCGAATGGAACCTGCGCACCTATCAGAGTGAACTGGCGATGGCGGCCTGCCAAGGGTAAGGCCTGCAAATAAGCCTTTCTACTGTTTTCCAGCAAAAATACAGTAATCGTGGCCCCGACCGGCTCAGGAAAAACTCGAGTCGCCGCCTACGTTGCTGATCAACATTTCCGGAGGAGAAAAGTTGATGGGAAGCCGAGTAGGGTAGGTATAGAAAGAGAGAGATAGATGAGAGAGAGAGAGAGAGAGAGAGAGCGACTAGCTTGATTTAGGTAGTATTCGTCGTCCCCAGCGTCCCATTGGTCGAGCAGCAGCAACGTGCGTTTCAGGATCTCTTCGAAGGGGTGAGCTAATTTGCAGATTTAGTTTATTAAAAAAATTGGAGGTTAAGATTACAAGCCAAGCCTAAAATTAGTTCAGCAGCTACAAACTCGGCGGATTCCAGAAGGATTTTTGCAAGCTTTCTGTTTAGCGTCTGATCGTCATCGGCCTACATGGTGCATCGGCTATCGGAGACCAGGATGACCGTAAAAAGCTTCTCCTCGGAGCCCACATCACTGTCATCACCCCTCAGTTGCTAGTGTAAGCAAAAAATCTCCAAAAGCATCGACGCCTCGTTTTAGCAACATGCTACAATCCGTGCGCCGCTCGGAGCGCATCTACATTTGCGACTTGACGATGATCATTCTAGACGAGTGTCACTATACGACAAAAGAGAGCGCATATAATGTGTTGATGGATATGGTCCAAGAGTATAAGCATGCAAAACCGCAGGTATGGTTTGGATCAAATACTTTCAAATGCCTTTAAAAGATTAGGAGGGTCTAAAGTCGACCCCAAACAATGACTAGGCCTCGACAGTTACGAGTCGCAGGGTTATTGCGCTTTCCAGCCCCTTTAAAGCTTTCTATCCCATTTTTTCTAGATTGTCGGAATGTCAGCCTCCCTGGGTACCGGCGACCAGCCACATAACGTCGAGCAAGTCTGCCAATACATCTACACACTATGCGGGGCGATGGGCTGCCAGCAGTTGAGCACCGTGCAGAGGTACAAGGACGAGCTGAACAAGTTCGTGCCGATGCCGGAGGACGGTCAGTAAAAATTCGATTACATGACTTTCAAAAAGTTTAGAAGTGAAGCACTGCACGAGGGTACGAGGGCCGCATACGTTTTAGTAAGTCTTAGGCCTGAAGTTAAAGTCAGCAGCACTCACTCTCTCCGCCTCTCGGTCCCCCTCTCTCTCTCTCTCTCTCTCTCTCTCCCTCTCTCCCTCTGAAAAGCCCTTTTCAGCCACACCCTCTGGGTCCAAACGGAAAACTACCAATGGAAGGTTCAATGTATGCTGAAGGAGCTCACCAAAAGCCCAGGAGCCGTCTTCAGCGAGGTGAGCAGCACCAGTAGCTTTGTTTGAAAAGGAGTTTCAGCACGAAATCGCGCTCGATCACGCCTTCAAATGTGTGTCTCGCTACGTCGGCGTACTCGCGAACCTGTTGGACAAGACGACAAAGTAGGGCTAGACTGGGTTTTAGAACTTGTGTTTTTTCAGGCAGAGCAATTTGCCCACGCAGCTGCGCATGGATTTGATCGCCGGATTGGAGGTGTTGAGGGTAAGTAGGGGTTAACGTTAGCTCGTTCTTTAATCTTAGCTCTCTCTCTCTCTCTCTCTCTCTCTCTCTCTCACTCTCTGCAAAATCGTTGATTTCAGATTTGCGCCAACACTTTTCTCCTCGACGAGGTTATGCCTTCCTTTTACGCATACGAATACCTAGTAAAGGTATGTTTTAGTATGGCAAATATATAGACTCACGGTCAAATTTAGAAGATATTGCAAAATAGTACTCAACTTCAAATTTAGGCGTTCAAAGCACACGCCGGCGCCCACCAATACTACAGCAGTTTTTGGGAGAATGGTAAGTAGTGTATATGGTAGTAGACTTTCATCACTTCATTTTTTTCAAGATCATATAAAGGCGAAAAATTACATAGGGGAAGGAAAAGAATCCTACCTTATATAATTTTGGCGTGTAACTGTGTGTGTGTGTGTGTGTGTGTGTGTGGATGTCACTTTCGAGGCCCGATTTGAGGGCCTTCCCGTGCATAAAATGCCCCAATTCTTCGTCACCCGGGGGAATCGACCCTTCTGTTTCCGATGACGTTCTCAGAATTTCGATAAAATACAAGTTTACAAAGTTAAAGCCGGTTTTATTCATTTTTGAGGGCAATTTGCATAATGTGAAAAAATACAAATTTCCTCATTCTTGCCAGTTGCACTCGCGAGTTTGGTCGTCTCTTTGGATCTGCCTCTCGATGCCTTTCCTTCCCCGGCCCCGGGCAGACCTCTTGAGACATAGAAGGGGTGTTTGGCACGTGCTGCCAAGCATTGCATGGTGTAGCGGTTAGCGCTTCGCCGTGCTAATCTAACCATCGGAGGTTCGATCCTCGGATATCGTGGTTGTTTTGCTTTTTGCTCGGAAAGTGCGTTTCGAAGTGGATTTCCGGGTAGGGACGTTATTACCAAGTTCGTCACTCAAGCCGCAGCCTATAGAATGAAGCTAGCCGCACAAGCTCGCGCCGCAGGCTTTAGAACGAAGCTAGCCGCACAAGCTCGCGCCGCAGGCTTTAGAACGAAGCTAGCCGCACAAGCTCGCGCCGCAGGCTTTAGAACGAAGCTAGCCGCACAAGCTCGCGCCGCAGGCTTTAGAACGAAGCTAGCCGCACAAGCTCGCGCCGCAGGCTTTAGAACGAAGCTAGCCGCACAAGCTCGCGCCGCAGGCTCTAAAACGAAGCTAGCCGCACAAGCTCGCGCCGCAGGCTTTAGAACGAAGCTAGCCGCACAAGCTCGCGCCGCAGGCTTTAAAACGAAGCTAGCCGCACAAGCTCGCGCCGCAGGCTTTAGAACGAAGCTAGCCGCACAAGCTCGCGCCGCAGGCTTTAGAACGAAGCTGGCCGCACAAGCTCGCGCCGCAGGCTTTAGAACGAAGCTAGCCGCACAAACTAGCGCCGCAGAATAAGGAATCAGCCAACCATTGAAGCTGGCGCCACAAGCTTAAAGTTCAAACTCCGCTGAAGCTTGCGCCGCAGGCTGGATCTCGAAACAAACCGCTCAAGCTGGCTCCGCCGGCCAAAGAAGGTCCCTCCAATTTGGGCCCAGTATGAGGTCCTAACCTAGCCGATCAAACATGCGCCGCAGGCCTAATAACGAGACTAGCAGTTCAAGCTTGCGCCGGAAGGACGCTCGATTCCTAGGGCCTAGCGGGGTCCAGCGGGGGAGAGTCGCGAAGCGGCTCCTCCCCCGCTGGTATGAGATAATTTTACCAATGTATGCCTAAAATTTAGGTTCCACACTGTACTTTGTTTTTCAGACTTCCAGGGACAACTCATCGAAGCGATCCGCAAGGAAAAAGTGGGAGAAAAACAGATCCTCAGCGAGCTCGAGTCGCGAATCCGGCATCAACTGGAATCAAAGCCGGATAGCCGGATTATAATTTTTGTGAACGAGCGATCATCTGCTCACTTGCTGTCCACTGCCATTAATAAGCATCCATTCTTCGACAGACTGCGTCAAGGAGTTCGAGGGGATATTGCTGGATATGCGACCGGTATAAAAAGCTTCACACGTATTAAGGTATCTTAGGTACCAGCGCGAAAAATAAGGGAGCTACAAATGCACAAACTGTCCAGGAGCAGTCGAGGATGCTTTATCGATTTAAGGAAGGGGAACTGAAAGTCAGTAACTTAAGAGTACAAGTTTCTCTATATCTCTCGCTCTTTATCTCTCTCTTTCTCTCTCTCTCTCTCTATCTCTCTCTCTCCCAGGCTACGCTCCTTTTCAGATGCTCGTCGCCACCAATGTCCTCCAAGAAGGTGTCGATGTCCAAACCTGCAACCTCATCATTAAGTACAACGTCACCGGCAACGTCATCAGCGAGGTGCAGAAGCGAGGTAAATAAGCGACTCGAGCCCAGAAATAATCCATCAGGTCGTGCTCGTGCCGTCGGATCCAAGTCCGTGCTTCTCGCCGTCACCGAGTCGGTAGAGCAACGGGAGATGGAGAACAAGCTCGGTGAAATGTTCATGGACAGGGCAGCGAAGATCATCTCCCGGCTGAACGAGACCGAGTTCACCGCCAGGGTCAGTTCGAAGAGAGAAAAATAGGGAGGGAGCAAGGCGAGAATGAACGCGCATGAGAGAGAGGGAGTGCGAGAGAGTGACAGAGAGAGATAGGGATAGAGAGAGCGAGAGAGCGACTCTAGCCCCTTTCAGTGCGAGCAAGCCCGCCAGGAGCGGATTCAGCGCAAAGCACAGGAGTTGATGGAGCAGATGAAGCTGCAAACCAAAAATCTGGAGTGCACCTTAAAATGTATGAATTGTGAGGCGACGCTTGGCCCCTCGATGCAAATGAGGGTCATTATGAATTTACACTACGTGCTCTGCCACGAAGAGATCTGGGAGCGGATCCTGTTTGAGCCGGAGAGAAGGACAAAGGTATGCTGGCTCCTTGAAGACCTACAGGGTGGCTAGAAAGTATTTGCCGCAGCGAAAGCTCCATAAGAAATTCTCAGTGTCCGGCTTCGTTGACTTTTTATAGCCAAAATCTAGCGAAGATACCTCCCTTTACGAATATCAAAAAGGCTAACACCTTAGACCTCAGATTTTTAAGATACGGTCCTTTAGAGGAGCATCCAAAAAAGAGCCTGCGCCGCACGTATTTTGCCTTTAGTGTTAATTTTTTCGGTTTTTGCTTGCAACCAATCAGAATAGAAAGTTGGGTATTTGATTCATTGCAAGGCCTGTTATTGGACGTATCTACCAGAAAAATTCGTTTCAGCCGTGTCGCAAAGTTTTACGCCATTTTCTTGAGTGCCCAAAATGAGCGGAACAAGGAGTTTTTGGAGCGCAAAAACAAAATGGCTCAAATATCCATATCTTCATGCGGCCAATATTTTTTCTTTTGTGGACGCAATAAAACCAACTTCCTGGACAGGAAAAGCTCATTGGCTAGGCGTGACAAAAGAAATTGGGCCCACGAAAGAATAATAAGGTGGACTTTCTTGCCGTTGGTTTCGCACAATCTTCAAATGCCTTAAGCGGGAGTTTTCAATCATTTTGGCCCTAGTCAAAGTGTCAGCCTGGTAGCTTATGCATTATCTATATTTTAATAGTAAATTTAGGGCAAGCTTTCGAATTAATGATTTTTTAAATCCATTTTTGTGCGGCAAATGGTTGCCAGCCACGAATCTCGGCGCACCCCACTCGCAAAATTTTACTTTCACTTCCGTGATCCATCTAAGTCTCGCGGTGTCCCAAGTACAATTTTTTTCGATAGTTTGGACAATGGTTTCTACGATACAGCACCGGAAAAGTATAAGATATTCCCTAAGAAATTTTTCGTGGGCTTCAAAAGTGCCGAAAACCAATACAAAAAACGTGGTTTTATGTATTTAACTCCAATTAAAGTTATAGGAGCAAGGAGTTGCGCGTTTCTATATATCAATCGATAGAGCAAAAAATTCTCTACCGAATACACCCCCCAGATGCCTTTGTCGCAAAAATTTTAGAAGAGGAAAACCGGAGTGAACGCGCGGCAAATACTTTCTAGCCACCCTGTATATAATTGCCTTCATTGCCCCTTTAGAATGATATTAAATTTTCCAGACCTTCGGCGACACAGCCCTCGTGCTTGGCAAGGCCAAATGCGCAAATATTGTGGGCGATGGGCCCTGTAATCAGCACCTTGGTTATGTGCTCAAGTATGCAGATTCCTATCATGTACAATTGACGTTGAGATCGGTAAGTTTCCATTATAACTGATTATATAAAACAAAACAACTGCATTTAGCTGCTGATCATCGACGACCAAACGGGTGATCCGTCGGATGAGACCAGAAGAAAATGGGCGAGCGTCCGAACGTCGTTGTTCTGGATTCGTGGCATCAACGATGGGGATTTGGTGGGTGTCCTAAAGTTACGTTAGAGGTGATAACATGGTGATACCTACAAAATATTAAAAACGGCAAATTTTAGAAGCGCATGCTTCGGCCGCTACCACAGAAGTTGATGAGGTCGTTCGTGGAGGCAGAGGAGGCGCTGAAGCAAGAGGTAGGGTGAGAGAGAAAGAGAGATAGGGAGAGGGAGAGAGATAGACAGAAAAAGATGATGCAATGACCTCGATCCTACGCCTTCTTAGATGAAGCAACAATTGTCTCGTCGTCGTGAGCGCTTGGCCCGAGGCCAGCAACCACTCTTGGAATGGGACGACGACTACGACATGAAAAGAAATGAGAATGACTAAAGCTCACTTGGATTCTCAGAAGATAATCTCATTAATATGCCGGTATGACCGTTCACCCTTGAGTAGAGTGTGTCGTTTGCAAATACAAATCCACTTTGAATAAATAAACCCAAATAACGGATATTCAAATAATCCAGAACCCGTTATTTGAATAACCGTTCTCCCGGAGTGCCGATTCAAATATATTTGAACATGTTCAAATAAAACCGAGCTTTGTCAAATCGCTCTCCTTTTGACAAAACCTAGTCAAATCTTTGATTCAAATAAGAAATGTCAAATTTCAAGAACAGTTGGACTAAAATATCAACCGCCAAATATCGCACAGCCCTGCAACGCCATTTTTGCAGAATGCCGGCATCAAAAATATCGACAACAAAAATGCCGACACAAAAAATTTTCGATATAGGTGTTAGCATTGCATTTCGGAACAAAACCTCCCGTCGGCATTTCGCATGTCGGCATTTAGCACGTCGGCATTTTCAAGTCGGCATTCTGACAGTTGTTATATTGCGCTTGGCGAGACGATAGGCACTTTGGTTGTCTGCCGCTGATTCCGATCACCGAAAAACTGGAAACCCCAACAATCCCGAAATACCGAAAAATACCGTCATTTTTCAATATTCGGCATTATAGCATCTAGGAAATGGTCGGCGTTGATATTCTAAGGTCAACAAAGGCCCTTCTTGAATCCATGGGTGCGATTTTTCAAATTTCGTTGAGCTTGTCCAGCTCGGCTTTATTTGAATATGTTCAAATATATTTGAATCGGAGCGGAGGTGGTTCCGTTATTTGACCGATTATTTGAATAATTTCCGGGATGCCTTCAAATAATTTATTTGAGCGGGCTCGAATATATTCAAATAATTATTCAAACACGACACACTCTACCCTTGAGACTGTTAAAATAAATTAAATTGGATTATATCAAAAATTCTGTTTTTTTTTTGTTCTTGATTCCCTGTGGATTCTCTTGCCAGTGGTGTTGTGATGTTTTGTTTTTATTTATGTATTAATAAATTTCAAAACCTGAAAAGAACAGCTAGATTTACAGCAATTAATAAGACAAGTACGATACGATACACACGTTAATGGGCTGTGTCCGGAGACGCATTGCGGAACCGGCGAAAACAAAAATGGCGTTCCAAAACCCAAATTTTCCTGGTGTTCGCGCAATCCAAGGTGCAAAGTTCCAATTTCGCCTCTGCTGGCTGCTCCTGGCGACAGTCTCAAAAAATCGGACACCGAAAATGGCTAACCACGTTGTTGCCGGATTATGCAAATGGGCTGAGTGCAAGCGGCAAGGGGGCTGCGACCCTGGCCCTTCAGACTTCACTTTTTGATGCCGTTTCCACAAAGTATACTGGAACAGCATTCGTACCGCAATCAGCCCCTGGTATTTGGAACTTTGAGGCCAGAAAGTGGTTGTTGAAAGTGCGATAGTCCCTCGGGGTTCCATTTTTGCATTTTTCGATAGTCAGCCGGCATTTTTATTTCAATCGCTTCTTTCTATTACACTTTGTAAAATCAGTTGTTATATTATTTTTGTTTTATAATCCGGAATTATTGAATTTGTATCGCACCTTGGGCAAACCTGGACGTTGATTTAGGCAACATATAGATTTCTGAGAATTTTTCTTAAAAACCCATTAATGGTATCTTCTTAAGGAGGTTGTTTTGTCAAGTAACTCAGAGAAAAAGAGAGAGAGAGAGAGAACGGTTTGCTATATATTCGATACTCCGTATAATAGCCATGTATTTGCCAACTTTTCCTTACAGTACTGCTGCATCTCTGCACCCCTAGAAAACGCAGCCCTTCAATAACAGTCATTTTATGAAGATGTCTGACAGCACATCCTCAACGCGGGTCCTTCACGACAAGGACAAGAAGGCTGATGTTAGGTAATACCTGCTGATTTTTAGTAAAAAATCATTACAGTACCCCAAAAACCGAGTGGGCTTCGCTTTGGATTTCCGGGATCATCCAATTTTTCTGCGCCATCCAATTTACGATCTATTTTTCTTCGTTATGGCCGTATTTACAGCAAGTAAGAAAATCCACAATCCGCCATTACCGTATTTTCTAATTAATTAGAACGTTTATCGATTTATTTCAGCTCGATCCCAGCTCAACCGAATCCCAGTTCGGCCATATCACTGCCATTTACAGCCTCGGCCAGGGCTCCTCCCTGATGGTGTACGGTATATGGAGCAAGAAAGCGCAGAATACCAGTCTTCCTGTGTTAGTAAGGGCATTTAGATACCTTTGTAATTTCACGTAGACAGGAATATTCATGATGGCGCTCGGGAATGCGGTATATCTGTTGATACCAATTTTTGGGATTCAGCCTTATGCTGGGATGATGGCATCCAGATTGATTATGGGCTTGGGAGCTGGTGAGTGCATTAATCGGATACCAGAACGCACTCAAATTTGGTTTAGAAAATTTAGCAAATCCTTACACCTTAAATTAAAAAATACGACTTAACTTGGGAAAACGCTGTACCTATGTATTTGCAAAAACTGTACAATTACGTTAATCGATTTTTTTTATGCGTTTGTTTTAGGTATCATTTCCCCACTTCGCGCCTACGCAATCCAGGCCAGTACGAAGGACGATCGATCGAGGGCTATATCGCTAAATACGGGCGGTTTTTGCCTAGGACTGCTGGCGGGCCCAGGTGAGCCTCGATTTCTCTCCCCTTGTCAGCCTTTACGTAATGTAAAAGAAACCTTATTTGCTAAAGCATTTATCAGGAGTAGAACTTTCAGCGCTACACCTCTAAATACCTATAATGCTTTTTCTAAACCATTTCTAGCCCTCCAAATCCTGTTCACCCCGCTTGGCTACCCGGGAGTTCGGCTATTCTGGAATTTCTCGGCCAATATCTATACCGGGCCGGCTATTATGGGAATTCTTGTGAATCTATTTTCCGGTATTATGATGGTGATGGCCTTCCGAGAGTCAAGAATCGGGATTTACAAAATTGAGAAAATGGAGAATCGTGAGTTATGGCATTGAGACTACAAAGGTGGTTTAGCCGAGCATGAGCGGTTTTTCGCACTTCCAAAGTATGACATTATTGGTGCTCTCATTTGCATATTTTCACGATTCGTTCAAATGTTTGTGATCACGAATCTGGAGACGTGGGTCTAAATTTGCTTTTCAAGACGCTGTGACAGCGGAGCGAGACAGAGATAGAGAGAGCCAGAGAGCGCGATCGAGGGAGAGAGAGAGAGAGAGATAGGGCGCTGTTTCTTTAATTTTATCTACAGAATCGGATCTCCTCTCACAATGACCGTATTTGCTTGGACTCGTGAAAAAGCCGTCTACTACAACTCGATGATGCACATCGGATTCGGGCTGATCGGACTGGTCTACTATGGAGCGAATACAATTTGGGACTTTAGCAAGCAGTACGTCGAGCGTTTTATAACCGAATTTTGAGAGAAAGATTCATCCTACCCGTTGTGCTGGGTATATTTTTGTAACAACAGTAATTCAGCCTGAATCATCGGCTCTGGACAATCTATGGAGTGCTACTCGTGACGTTGTTCCACTTACTTACCTATCCTTGGTGGTTCTTGCCGGGAAGCATTCAATATCAAAAGGAATGTAGGTTTTTTTGCTCTTTTTTCCTGTTCCTAGGGAAATTCGTCTCCTTTATCTTCAAAATACTTTGAAGAGTTGATTTAGACGACCTAGTTAATGGAACTCTTGTCAAAATCGCAGAGCCAGTGGGATGCCGCCCAACCTTTGATTGGTGCGCCACCACTCCACCTATAAATGTTTTCGTCTACGTTTTTTCCTACATATTCCTAATTGGGCTGGCATTTCCCATCATTAATGTGACGATGACGGTCGTATATTCGGATGTTATCGGACCTAGGGATCAGGTGGTTCAAGAAAAATGAAAAACTAGCAATTTCGCAACGCGAAGGCGCGAAAAACTTGAAAGGTCATCTCGTAAAGTTTTATAACCGAAGGCATCCGATTACTTACTAGCGGTAATTTCTATACCAGCTAAACCAATTTTTTTGGTTGTTTTAAATGTCATTTTTAAGTATTTGCAATTCTTCAGGGCACCATGCAAGGAATTATACTACTAGCTGGTAGTATGGCGCGGTTGATGGGCCCGCTTTTCGTTGCGTAAGCTCTCAACCGTTTTTCTAGCAGAGTTTGGTGTTTTTCAGAAGCTTTTTCGAGTCCTCTGGCATGAAACTGCCCTGGATTATCGAGATTGCCATGTCTCTCGGATGCGCAATGTTATGGATCATTTACTACAAACGGTAGTATTTTTCTATCACCAAAAATCGGATTTCCTTGTTCAGGATGGTCCCCCTGAAACACGGAAACGAACTGAAAGCCGGCGACCATTATAAAAATAAATTCGGCAAGGTGGAACGGTTTTGAGAGAATAAAAATTTACCGGAAGTTCCGTTTGGGTTCTCTTGCTGCTGACTACAGACTACAACTACAGACGATTTGAAAAAGGCTAGTTCTAGATAAACGTTATTGCCACCTCTTTATGTTTTTTTCTCCCAGACCAAAAATTCCGGGGTGACGTACCCATAACCAGTCCGGTTTTCGTTTTGTGCACAACAACTTTCTCTCTCTCTCTCTCTCTCTCTCTCTCTCTCTCTCTCTCTTTCTCTCTCACCATTCCTTTCTTCCCCAAATCTACGTCACAATAAACTGAATGTCTCGCGGCTGGGCTCACGTCAGGTGCGGAGCAGGAAAAGTTCGTATTCTCTGTGGTGCCGCGGGGCGAGAAAAAGCGGCGGGACCGGAATTTATGTGACGTAATCGAATAAGTTTGTGTGAATTTCCTGTGATGATAAGCGAAGTTTTAATTGATCAAACGTGAAACTTCAATGACAAAAATTTTCTCGTGGGACAATAGCTTCAAAAACTCGTCCTCTCTCACATTCTCTCTCGTACTCACGCGCATTCTCTCTAGTTCTCTCTCTCTCCCTTCTTTTTTTTTTTTTCTCTCTC